CGTGACTGAACTCCTCTTGCTGCCTCCTGATTGGGGGATGAACTCCACCAATTAAAACAGCAAGATTTCAAGCTTGGGACTCAACCTAAGCTTCAAAAGGCAAGCCTGCTACACTTGCACTCTGGAAGGTGCAATATGTCTCAGGGTTACAGATGTGCAGGGGAGTGGCATAGTTTGTCTAACTGTTAATGTATATGTAATAATGCATGTGAGTATAGAGATGGATAATGCTTAATGATTATAAATATATTGTAAAGATATTGTACTTTACAAATATCCATACATCTGCATGTCAGAATAGCAGGTGGTTTTGAGCGGAGTCCTGTAGCAGTTTATCCTGGGGCTAGTACTGAAATGGAGAGCTTCTTGAGCAAATTTGAAGATGACACAAAACTGGGAAAGCTTTTGAACACACTGGAGAACTACAGCACAATTCCCAAGGATCCTGAAAGCTTGGAAAGCTGGACTAGAACCAACAGGATGAAGTTTAATGGTAACAAATGCAAGGTACTACATCTTGAGAAGAAGAATCAAAAACACAAATACCAAACAACTGAGTAAATGGTAGCACTACAGAGAAGATTTAGGAGTCTTAGTGGATCACAGACTCTGTATGAGTCTACAGTGTGACACAGCTGCATAAAAGGCAAATGTGATTTTGGGCTGCATCAACAGGAGCATTAGGTGCAAGACATGGGAGGAAATAATGCCTCTTTACTCAGCCAACCTAGAGCATTGTGTGCAGTTTTGAGCTCCATATTGTAAAAATGACATGGAGAAATTAAAGCGTCTAGAGGCAGGTGACAAAAAATAGAAGGTAAGCCATATGAGGAGAGGTGGAAATAAATAGGCACAATTCAGCTTGTGGAAAAAGCTATCAAGAGAGGATATGATAGCAGCCTTCAAATATCTGAAGGACTGCCATAAAGAGAAGGGAGAATACCTTTTTCCACTGTTGCAGAGAACAGGACTATAACGGGGAGCCAGTGACTCCTGTTACATTAAGTGGGAAATGCAGCAGGCTAGCCTCACTGTATAGGTAGGTAGCTGAGCAAAAGCCCTGTAATAAGTTTATTGTATGGGGAGGATTCCCAGACAGTCTCAGAGAAAAGGGTGTAAGCTGCAGGGTCAAACTGCAACAAGGAGGAGCAGGAGGCTGACCATTAGGCACAAGGGGAAAACCTCTGTGCCTGATTAGGGAGTCACCTCATGGGAAGAGTAGTGCTCCAGAGTATATAAGCTCAGCACCGGATTCAAGGTAGGCAGTCTGGTCTTGGAAGCAAGGGGCTACAGAAAGCAACCTGGGAAGCTCCTTAGCCAGCCATGAGTGTTGGAAGGTGAGCACTCAAAGGGAGGTAGGGCTTGCAGGGTGGCATAAACCTGGAGTGGGGGAATTTTTTTGTTGAAAGCATTTGCTTGTATTTGTGTTGCGTTTTAGTTGAAACTGGAGGACTGGCTTGTGGCTGTGTCATGAAGGCCACAAAATTCCTGAGGGACACCCTGCTTATTGCCCTGTAGAGGTCAGAGGCCAAAAGGAGCTGAGCAGCACAGGATCAGGGACCCAGGAGGCTGAAAAGTAGTATGCAAGAAGCCTTGCCTGAGCCAGGGGCTAGGAAGGAAAGAGTAGCTTTGCCTGGTCTGGGATCCCAGGGGGCTGCAGGGCCTGAGAAAGGTGAGATAGGGCAAGGGGCCTGGAGACCAACATACAGAGAAGGCTGAGCAGTGCTGTAGGAAGGGGGAGAGGCAAATGTGGTGACTGCCCCAGGTGCTGAAGCATAGGGGCACCAACAGGCTCTGCCCAGCTGGGGCAGGGTGCAGGACGGAGTTGCAAGTGGCTTGTTTGTGGGGGGGGGAGCACGGTGATGGGGAAAGGGCAACTCCTGCTGTTGCGTGCATTCCCAGGAAAGCATAGGGGTGGGGGTGCATGTGCCCCCTGAATCTCTGCATCGGGTGAGGGTGGACTGCTGCTGCAGGCTGTGCCCTGGGCACCAAACTTCGTTGCTACAGTGCTGAGGCTGAAAAAGCCAGGCCAGAACAAGTGAGTTCTGACTGGAGGCCTGCAGCCAAAATAACAGTGGGCTAAAGCCAAGAAGGCGAAGGCCCCTATTAGAAGGTTCAGAATGTTGTCATGATAATACTGGCAAGGCTTGGACATGGCTGCAGAGGAGGATGGAGACCATGATTATTGCCCCTAAGGCACAGATGGGGCCAGAGGGCCATGATTCCACCAGAGGGTGCCAGCCAGGCACTTGAGACAATAGATAGCTGAGGGACTGAGGCTCACTCTGGGGCTCTAGGGCAGTTTCTGAACTTCTCGAAGTCTCCCTAAGTATTATTAGTTACTTAAAGGCATGACAGGCAAGGTAAAACAGGAGGGTACCCCAAAGAGCTGGAGTGAGGCAGGAAGTGCTTGGCCATCAGGGGGTGCCACCACCACCCCTCGAGCCTTGGTCCTGCTGCAAGGACACATATCAATAGCTTTACATTGCAGCAAAGTAGGTTTAGAGTGGATAACAGGAAAGCTTTTTCATTATTAGAACAGTGAGGCAGTAGAACAAACTGCTTAGTGAAGTTGTGGCATCTCCATTACTGGACGTGTTGAATAAGTGGTTGGACAGGCACTAGTCAAGGATGACCTAGGAGTAGCTATGCCTGGAATTATTTGTAAAGAGCAACAGTTAGAAGCCCAGGAGCAACCCCCTCACAACAGACCACTGGGAAATGAGAAGAGCTCTGAAGCCTAGAGCAGGTGAATATTCGAGGGCTATACTTAGCAGAAGGAGAATGGAGCAGTGCTTCACAAGCAGCTTAATTAAGTTTATGGAGGGGATACAGAACAAGGAGTTTTAGCTGTCCAGTAAGAAGGTATGATTCATGGAGTTTTTCTTGATGTTCCCTGGTGGCAGAGCAGAATGGACGGTGTTTGGTTTTTTTTCATGCTTCTGGGCTTTGCTGGTTGTCACACAGAGCTGGGAAGGAACTGTTTCCCCCTTCCGTTGGCTACAGGTGTTGGTTTTTTTTTTTTGCCCAAGCTTTGGGCATTAGCTGGGGTTTTGACTGGGGTGTGCCAATGCTCCTGCTGGGACTTAGACTCTGGAGGTTCTAAGTTGAAGAGTCTTGCCCCTCCACTCAGGGTCCATCACATTTGGGATCAGGCAAGAATTACCCCCTGGCCAGATTGGTATGGGCTGTTGGAGGGTTTGCCTTCCTCTGTAGGGAGGGGTGTGAATCTCTCAAGCACACATTAACAACCCTTACAACAGTGGAACCGTGAAAGCCCTCATCCCCCATCTTTATCTGTGTCAGATTAGGGTGCTTTTCGTGTCTTTGGACAATATGCCTTGTAGATGTGCAACAGGGTTGACTCTGTAGTTTTAGGAATACATTAGACAAGGATTTGTATGGGGTGTTGTATGGGTGGATAGGCATGTTCCTGCCTCATGCAGGGAAGGTCCTTTCCAGCCCTACTTTTCTATATATATTCAGATGGTGTTGTTAAGATTGGAAGGAGGGTCTCAAGGTCTTCAAAATAATAAAAAAATCACAAAATGTCTTGCGGTGGGAAGTTTAGCCACTAATGCTGCTGCTGCTCCCGAACAAGGCACAAGGGGTTTTCACACCCTTTGAGTGGAAGATGCAATGCAAATGTAAGATTAGGAAACTGGCCCAAATGGATGCCCTGAATCTGCCAAGGGTACTTGGATCTCTATAATGTGCCAAACCTAAATAGCACAAATGAGCAGTTTCCTTGTTAGAAATGGATGTAGTTTGTTGCTATGCCCATTTGGAGTTCTGGGACTTCATGGCAAATTTGTCAGTGCTGGGTGTTTTTCTGAAGACTGGATGTTAATCATTCCAGTGAGCGTGTGAAAATATAGGCCAATACATTTCCATCCTTTGTGGCTAAGAAGGAAGTTTGCTCATGCAATCTTAGTAAGCTCAAGAAGTTCAGAAACCGTCAAACAAATAATGCCTCCACCCCTGTATCATTTCAAATCAAAAAGGCTCATCATATCACTTTGGAGTTCCTAGCATTGGCATTTCAGCAGGGAAGTCAATTGATTTTTTTCCAACCGCTGTGCCCAAAGCCTCAGCCTGCTCCTTCACCACCGGCAATCTGAATCGTAGACTTTTTGGGGCACATTTGGTCTTTTTGCAAAGGTCCCAGCTCTTGGTGCCTGGGGATCGTGTGACAATCTCATGTTTCATCAAATAAAACAAAATAAAGGCAGATTGAGGGAAAAAGCAGGAAAACGGTGACCTGAGAATGAGGTAGCAGGTACAATGAACCCAGCAGTCATTATAATAACTTACATTTCATTAGACACACATACACACACAGTTTCATATACACTTCTAAATTTTATACATATTTTATTTAAAATTGTTGTATGTTTCATATACATTATGCATCAATTTATCATTATCATTACTACAATATTATTGTAAAATGGTAATACGATTATTATTGTAATATAGATTATAATTATTACAATAATAATATTATTGTAATAATGATCATAAAGGTGATGCATAACACAGTAATGATGGTGGTATTCTTAGGTAGCCGTATGGGGGGCAGCGCTCTCTACTGATAGGAGATGATGACGTAGGGTAGCTGTAGACACAAAACCCTGCTCCCTGGCGCGCCGAGGTCTGGCCCCGCCCCTCTATCAGCCTCAGCTTCCGGAGCGCCAGCCCCTCCCAGCAGGCATTGCGACTACACCCGCCTTCCTCCCACCGCCTCTCCTTTTCTTTCCGGGCATGCGCATTAGAAGCAAAGACATCTTTCCTCCCCCCCTACCGGAAGTCCCCGCTCTCTCTGAGCGGATCGGCAACGTGTCTTTGTAACGTCAAGACGTATCCTTTCCCGGTGGCTGCCGGGAGTCGTAGTTCCTGTGGGGCCCGGAGCGCTCGGGCGGCTCAGGGGCGCGTGGGCGCGGGTGGACTACTCCTCCCAGCGTGCCGCGCAGCACGGGGGGATTTCCGGGCTGCTCGACCGGAAAGAACAGTCAGCGCGGGACCGGCGCTGGACGGGGAGTGCTACCACCATGGCTGGAGAGATGACGGTGCTGGGTGAGACTCGCGAGGGCCGGGGCGGGCGGGGTGGGTCAACCGCCCGCGAGCGCGTGGCCCCCCGGCACACGCGTGTATATGTACACACATACATATTTCACGGTGTCTAGATCGGCCCCATGTATATAAATCGACCCTGTTTTTCTGATCCAAAAGGTAGGATTTTCCTAGATTCAGTGTATAAATCGGCCTTTTTAGATCAGAAATATGAGGTCGACTTAGATTGGCCCCTGCACACCCTTGCTGCAGGCCGGGCAACCGAGAGGCGCACACGTGCCGCAGCGCCGTTTGTAAGGGATAGGTTTGGTGCTCTGGCCTCATCCCTTGTGAGCGGTGCTGCCTGGGTCGCACCAGCTGAGCAGCACCAAGCCCAGCACTGCTGGCAGGGGATGGGACCGCACCAGCTAAGTGTCGAACTTGGTTGTGTGCTTTGCGAGTGGAGCTGCCGAGCGCCAAGCCCAGCCCCGTCTCCTGGGGGGAGCTGGGCTACGCCACTCACGGTGAACAGCTGTCCCCTCAGCGCTCAGCTGGTGTGGCTGGGTTCAGCACTCAGCAGCACCACTCGCAGTGGATGGGACTGGGCTCAGCGCTCGGCTGGTGCAGCCCAGGCAGCACCACTTGCAGGGGATGGGGCCATGCCAGTCGAGCACTGAGCCCAGCCTTGTCCCCGTAACCTGCAAGTGGTGCCAGGCTCAGTGCTCAGCTGGTGCAGCCCCATCCTCTGTGAGTGGCGCTATCTGGGCTGTACCAGCTGAGCACTGAGCCTGGCATTGCTCGCAGGGGACGGTGATACCGTGTATTAGTCAAAGTTAATTTGTGTGGACGGGGGAGGAGGGTTCTCCACCCAAACTTTAAAATCACTGCTTGGCAATGTCAAGTTCACGGCTCATTGTCATTTATCTGAATACATTGTGAGGGCAGGGGAAGGTGTGTGTAAACTCTGCAGTGGATGAGCAATTCCACCCATCCAGTGCCGGTGCCAAACCCAGGTAAAGGAGGAAGTTAGTGTCATGAAGGACATCTGAATGTAAAAGTCTTTGCCAAATCATGGTGTGGAACCAGGGAACAAATCTACCTGCTGATGGAGTGTTAGGATACGCAACGGTGACCCCATTTAGACAGGCCAGGTGAGGGAAGAAGTGTGTATGAATGAGTGAGCAAGCCATGGTGCATACCCCCCCATCCCAACTTCTTTCTCCTGTTTGACCGAGAAAAAAATACATACATACATACGCATTCAAGCAGATTACAGTGATACATGAACTCAGCTGACTCCCTCAGCACGTGTATATGTCTGTGTTTGTATACATATTTACTTTTCTGAGACAAACAGGAGGAGAGAGAAATGGGGAGCAGGTGTTTGCACCATGAATCAGGATGCATAAACTCTTGGGCGTCTCACTTTTTAGCCTTGTCGTTGTTGCTGTTTGGTGTTGCACAGATTAACACATCTGCCATAAAGAGACCAAACTTACCTCCCAGCATGGGCAGATCTAGAAATTTGAGAAGTGGGGTGCAGTTGGTGAGGTTCGTCATCGCATAAAACAAAACACTTTTTTTTTTTTCTCCAGTGAAAAAGAAACTAGCATCTTTATTAACATGCCAAGGGCCTAGGGCTGGATTATGCAGTTTAAGATTGAAAATAGAACTTCATTAGAACGAGTTAAAAACAATCTGCAGAGTGGTGACATAGGAGCTTCAGGAGCAGCCAACAGGTGGCAGAATGGCAGGATGAAGGCTGGTTTGACTGGTGAAACGTGAAGAATATTAAAAAGAAGAGAAGGTCCTTAGCGCCTGTGCAGTGAAGAGTTTAGAAGGGATCAGGGAGACAATAACGAGCCATGAAGTCATTTGACCTCCTTAGCACTGTCTGACTAGAAATGCTGCTGCCACTGCCAGGCAGTTGGTTTTAAATTCTAGGTGGAACCGGCATTAAAGGGGGATGCAGTGTGCCCCCCTCACCCCCAGATCCATCTCTGCCTCCTAGGGAATTTGAAGATTACTTTTCTTTTTCAGTTGCTTTATGAATATTAGTTAATCTCAGCATTATCATTGTGTTGTGGTGATATTTATTTGTTTGCTGTTTCTTTCTTGCAACTGAGAAGAGATGTTGTTACTGACACTAGTGACTCGCTAACTGAATTGTCAGACTGAATGAATCTTGTTGTTGACCTCCTGAGGAAATGAAACTAAGTGGGCAAATAGTTTTCCATGTGAAACCCACATTATGTTTACACCAAACTAAATGTGTTAAGATGAGTACACTAGTGTTACAGCTGTGAGCTTCTAAGTTTTCAGAGATGTATGCTCTTTAACCGTGCTTTTTCTCCTTGTTTTAGGTTCGGCTGTATTGGCTCTCCTCTTGGCTGGCTATCTGGCACAGCAGTATTTACCTATGCCTACACCAAAAGTCATCGGGATTGACCTTGGTACCACTTATTGCTCTGTTGGTGTATTCCTGCCTGGCACAGGGGAGGTGAAGGTTATTCCAGATGAAAATGGGCACAATAGCATACCAAGCATGGTCTCCTTCACAGACCGGGATGTGTATGTAGGGTATGATGGCCTAGAACTGGCAGATTCTAATCCACAGAATACCATATATGATGCCAAAAGGTTCATTGGGAAAATCTTCACTCCAGAAGAGCTGAAAAGTGAAAGTAGCAGATACCCGTTTAAGGTAAACACAAAACAGCCTTTATGAATTCTTCCCACTGTAGCCTATAAGTCCTTCTTTACACATTCTTTCAATTATGCCTTGAGCTGAACTCTGCCTGCTAGGCATGGGATGTGGTACTGGTCATTCAGTGAATGGCAGTACTGCAGGAAGTCAGATTAAAATTGATCTTATTCTTTTCCTTTTGGGACAGTGGGTTGAGAGGGGTAATTAGCCACGTTAGTCTGAATGGTGTGAGAGTGCTGTGAAAAAAAAATTAGGTCCTAGTATGAGAAAAGGAGTGCTATGTGTCACTGTGCATGAAGCTGTATGAGCAGTTCAGCAGTGCACTTGATGGTCTTTAGAGCAAACAAAGTCCAGTTTTCTTTGTCTGTCAGAATAATCACAAGAAGGAGCATGGTTATAGGTGTTTCAGGAACAAGTGGTGTATTTGGTACTGATGAGATCCAGAGACGAAAACTGCAAAAAAATTAAAATGTAGATGACCTTGCCATTTCTGGCATGATACATGATTCCCCCCACTTAGCCATCTTTGTTTTTCACATATCTGCGTTACACCTTTGAGGATTAAAATTAAAATGTGGCACATTTTATCTTCAGTGTGTTGTCCTATAAAATTTGGAGTTTGAGCAAAGCACTTGACCTTACACTACAGTGAAAAAATTGAGATCTGTTTGGAAGCAAGGAAAACTCCTGCTGTAGTGGCTGAAGGGACTTGATTTTGATTTATTTAAGATGAGGTAAGATTTTTATATCCCGGTATCATCTAGGATGCTAGGTAGGATAGTTTGTTTTTTTTCAGGGTATAACTAGGGGTGCAATGATAAAGATTTTCTTGGCTGCTACCAAAGGCCAATTATTACCCAGCCATATTGGCCAATACTGATCTGAGAGCCTATTTACAGAGATGCAGCTCAGCAGTGTGGAGAGGAGTGCCTGGACGGTAAGTCTGTGGGGGTGGGAAAGGGGCATGGGGGGCTAGATCAAAGACCCCCCACAGTGAGGGGGGGAGTGGGGCAGTTGCAGGCACTGCCCAGCCAGGGCAGTGTCTGCAGCCCCAGGAAGGAGACAGAGCTGCGGGTGGCTTGTCTGGGGGTGCGGGGTGGTGTGCAGCTCCCTGCTGCTGCATGCACCCCTGGGTGAGACATGGGGAGCATGTTCCCCCCCAGATTTGCATGTGGGGCTGAGATAAGCTGGCTGCTGCAGCGCCCTGCTGCCTTTGTCCCAGGAACTGCACACTAGCCACATGTCCCCTGCCCGCCCAGTGGCAGGAGGCACAACATGGCATCTTGCTGCTCCTGGGGCAAGGCAGCAGGGTGCAGAGCCCAGCCCCCAGCCTGCCTCTTCCCTGTGCACAAATTTGGGAGGCACATGCCCCTGATGACTCCCCTGGGGGTGTGCACAGTGGCAGGGAGCTGCGCCGTGCCCTGCACCTCTAGACGAGCTGCCCATGGCTGTCACGTGACCCGCCCCAGCACCCCATTCACCCCAGCCCATTCCACTCCCTCCCTCACTGTGGGGGCCTTGATCTGCCCCACCCCCTGGCCCATCCCTCCACCCCACACTTCCCCTCCAAAGACTTACCTGTTTGGCACTGCTCTCCATGCATCAGAAGAAAAAATCCTGAGATTTGAGGGTTCCATTGTGAGATCATGAGTTAGATGGCTCTGGGGAGTTGTGCCAGGGTTGCAAGCCGGCTGGGTGCTCACTGGACAGAGGGGTCTCTGGGGATCTTGCCCTTCAGAGGCAGCACAAAACCTAATGATGGAGAAGCCCTGCTGTTTAAGCCAGCTTTTCCCCATCTGGGTAGGCTCTGTGCTCTGCAGCACTTCGGGTCTCTCCCTGAACCCAGTTACTTTGTTCCCCTGTTCTGCTGCACCCCTGCTGTAATAGTTGTGCATTCTGTGCCTTGTTTTTCCCTTTTCTTTTATCCTTTGAAATCTTCTTTATTCCAACAATTAGAAGCAACTGATTAGCAGCTGTGCTGCTCAACTTAGTCATTTATATTCATGAAATGACAGTTCCAAGAGAAACACTTATTCAGCAGCAGGGACATACATAAGGGGGACAATTCCATAACCAGTGTTTAAAAAATTGCCCATAGTACAGAAACAAAAGCAAAAAGAGTTTAGAACATTAGAGAAATTGGCAAGCAACATCCATTCAATACTGATATCCTTTCTAAAACTTTAGTAAAAAGCTGTCATCATTGCTTAATGTTTTCCCTTAACAGTTATATTAGCTGTTCTCCAGTAGCTGTTGGCAGACCACATCTTGGAAGTCTAAGAGTTAACAGCTTAAGAACTAAGCAATTTGGAATTTTGTGGCTTTTTTTTAAAGCATTTGTCTTCTATAGTAGTACATACCAATATTTTTGGTAACAGCAATGGAAACACATCACTGAGACAAGCAAGTTCCAGTTATTGGGGGTGCACCGATTTGAAGATTTTTGTGGGGGCTGATACCAATGGCCGATTATTGACCATCCCGCCAATGCACACACCCCAGGAGAGGCATGGGGAGCATGTGCCCCCTAGATCTGTGCACAGGTTGAGGGCAGGCTGCTGCTCTGGGCTTGGGCTGCTCCATCCTCTTCCCACCCTACCCCACCTGTACAGCGCCTACCCATGCCCCTGCCCCAGGCGCACTCTCTCCCTCACTACGGGGGCCTCGATCTGCCCCCTCCACACACCTTCCCCCACACAGACTTACCAGTGGGACGCTGCTCTCAAAGCGATCGGGCTGCATTCCTGGCTGCGTGCACACTGTGGCTACATGCATGCACACGGCATTTATCAGTGACGTTATCAGCCACATTGACCAAAAAAAGCCGAATGCTGATAATGTCAATTTTCCTCTTTATTGGTGCAATACATCAGTGCACCTCTACTAGTTATTCACATATTGATTATCCATTGTTCTACACTGTAATAAAACTGCACCTGGCATTGACACCCCTGACCTAATTGCATAAAACAAACTCTGACCACCCTTCCTCACATGCCAGATCCAATGTCTGCTCCTATCCCTGGGATATGAGCCATATGCAGTGCCTACTCCAGCTGATTCAAGAGAAGCCACATAAA